CTTTCTGTTGCGGTGATGTGGATAGTATTTGAAATGGTGGATGCTTCGTCAGCCTGAGATCTAGGTTAAGGATGAGCTGGAGCTGAGCCCCCAGCTGGCCCTTGGTGCATGTATAGAGTGAATGAGAAAGAAATCTTTAATGTTTGAAACCACTCAGATTTAGGATTTTTTTTGTGATCACAGCATTACCTAGCCTACCTGACCGAAGGCGCACATTTACCACTTGTGGTTGCCGGGCATCCCAGTGCCCTTCCTGTTTGGGACTTTGCTCCACCCTCTGAGACTTGTTGAGAGGCAGAGCCTTCCTACAGAAGGTGAAAATGCCAGATACCCACCCACTTTCCCAGCCTCCCTTGCAGCTCAGGGGCAGGCACATGGCCAAGGCCAGCAGAGATGGTGCTGAGCTGGGGTGCCGGGGGCTGCGTTCTTAGCAGCTGTGATGGTAACTGTGCTGGGCTGGTTCTGTAGCCAGGGTTTGGGTTATGCTTCTGGCTGTGTGACCTCCCTTTTTTCTTGCCTGCTTCCTAAGCCTCATTTTCCAGCCTTCCCATCTGTTCTGTGAGCTGCCCAGTATCTTTCTATAAATTCCCTTTCAGCTTAAATCACCCAGCATCCATTCATGCTGCTGGAGACTAGGAGCCTTGGACCAATACAGCCAATTAGGGGGCTGTTGTGAGGCTGCAGGGAGGCAGGAGGGAAGGGACTGGCAGGATGCGACTAGCTTCTCTTCCCCTGCATGAGCTGCTTCCTCGGGAGCAATCCTTGTCTCTCTTGGCCCAGAGCAAGCCAAAGGGGACTGGGCTCAGGGGTTCTGGTCAGACTTGGACCACCTTTAGGCACGTGAATCATACATTCCTTTTCTGTAATACGGGGCAAATAATAGACCCTCACTTAGGGGGTGGTTGCGAGGAATGTATTTGAAAGAGAATACATTGGGGAGAGTGCTGGGAGCCATAAATCAAAACCCCAGTGCGAGTTTACCACTTTATCCTTGTGTCATCTTGCTGAGCAGATCCAACTGGGGACACTGGGGTGGCATGACTATAAAATGGAAGCTGCCCTTCGTGATGTGGTTGTCACTCACCTCCTGGGTGGTCGTAGCTCAGTCTTCTGGGTTCGGACCCATCTGAGCTCCTGTCCAAGAGACCAGAGACCTCACATTTAAGGTACTGAAAGGATTCCTGATGAGCTCGGAAAAAGCAGAGAAGCGTAAAGGTGGGAAAGGACACTGGGGATTATTTTCTTCAATCCTCTCAATTTCCAGAGCTCAGAGAGGGAGGCCTCCTGACCCACAGCCACACAGCGACTCTGTCGCTGAGCTTGGGGGTGGGATGCAGATTTTTTCCACTCTGACAGTGCGTCTTAACCTGGAGGCATACTTGTGCTGTCATCCAAGTTGGCAAAAATGATTTGGAAAGACAGCAACTCTCCCTCAAATTTACAAGCCCCATTTCATAGCAACCTGTGATCACCTGATCCTTATGCCCCCTCCCCCCCAGGAGAAGGATCCTTAGAATACACTTCTCTTTTGCTTTCTCAGCCATCTAAAACACTTTATTGCAGAAGGGTAAAAAAATGCTGAATTGATCTTTTTAAATTAACATGGGATCCAAATGAAAGAAATTTGGAAGAAGAGAACTTTCTCATCCAAGTGGTTGCCAGCACCCAGCCCCACCCACCCCCCCATCCCTCCCCCCCAGCTGAAGCGTCCCTTGTTCTTGCCTGTTCTGCCCCAGATTCATGGGCTGCTCTCTGAATCGTTGGCAATTTTCTCTGCACTGTCCTGACAACCTCAGGCCATGAAATTAAAAAGCTGGTTACTGAATCTTGCTCCTAACGGCTTTGTCCTCGCCAGCGATTCGACAGAGAAATCTGGAAGAGGGAGCCTCCGCTATGCCTGCAGTGGGCTGAAATGCCACCGGAATGACAATGGGCTTCACCAGGGGAGGGAGAGAGAATGTGCAATTTGCCAGGAATGAATGCATGAAAGAAAGAGAGCGAGAAAGAGCGAACTTTGGGCTTCAAATTGAAAAATTCCAGTGTCTCAGCAGAGGTCTTGGTGCCTCTGCTCCAGGACCTGCTACAAAATGCTGAGCAGGGCACATTTCCCCACACCAGTATCCTCTGGTCCTCTGCCAGGGTCCAGCGCTCACGGCTGGAGGGCTGGGAAGTCAGAATTTGGGGAGGAAATGGCTCCAAACTGGGGCAGGCCCTCCCTGGGAGGCCAGCCCACCTAGCCAGCTTGCCTGTGACCAAGGCCCCCCCACCCTCCCACCTGCCACCCCTAGCCCCAAGTCTTTCCCCTGAATGTAGACACTAGTGCTTACTCCACATACTATCACCCCCAACCTCCACTCCCAAGGAATTTTAAGAAATCTCAAAACTGGAAGAATTTTAACTACGTTTAATTAAGAAAAATCTTTCTAGAAGACAACTGTGGTGTGGCTCACTGCAGCCTGGGTGTCCCTGTGGGTGGGGCTCAGTCTCCTGGCCTTGGCACCTACGCAGAGGTGCCAAGGGCCTGGTAGATACTCATTGGGTGAAGGTATAGGAGCAGCTCGCTCAGAGAGCAGCTCTCTTTCCTGCATTGCCCCCTCTGGGCACGGGCTTACAGACTGACATGTGGATATGTAGGAAAGCCTGAAAGAGGCATTTGAGCCCTGGGTCAGCAGGGAGGCTGAATGAGGTCCTTGACTTCATAGCCAAAGACCTTGAACAAGTTGTTTAATGTCCCCAAGTATGACTCCTTATCTGTGAAGTGGAAGTCACCATGGTGGCCACTCAGAGGGAAGCTGTGAATTAGTGTTGAATGCAAATGAAAACTTCACAGGACCTAGACTCAGAGCCCATCCTGACTGGGAGGTGGTTCTTGAGAGCTTTGGCCTCACCATCCCAGGGGACTTGGGATTAGTGTCCTTACTGGACAGGCCTGGCATTGAATGGCCCCTGAGAAGCTATGTTGGTCGTCACTATTTAACTGAACTCATGCATTCACTCAGTCACCCAGTTGCTTATTCATTTATCTGAACCAGTGTTTATCAAGTGCCTTCTGTGTACTGCCCTGTGCTGGGATTTGGGCTAAGGGAGTAAGTGAAAGGGGCATGGGCTCGGTCTTTGGAACAAGCGAGAAATAAACAAAATCAAGATCAAAATCATTTTGGGTTCGGATCAGGAGGTGGTCAGGGAAGTCTTCTTTTGAGAGGTGTTGTTTGAATGTAGACCTAAGAATAAGAAGGAGCTGCCTACGCTCAGACTTGAGGAAAGAGGGTCCCGGGGGAAGGAGCAATAGTATAAAAGGCTTGGAAGTGAGAACGAGCCTGCCCAGTGGGTTAGTGTGTCCACGGTTGATGGAATAGTGGGATGGGGTAGTGGCTGAGTGCATTGGAGAAGTCATCCCACAGGAAGACCACCCGGAGGATTGGTGCTGGGCCTGCAGTCCAGAACTTGTGCTGGGGGTGGAATACTTTGACCAATGGCTTCCCTGAGGCTTACTCCCGCCCCCTCTGTGTCCGGCACCTGCTGTGAGTGCTTTAGAGGACAGGTCGTGCAGAATGAAGAGGTGGCTCCACCAGAACTCCACATTATTATGTATGGCCCACCTTCTCAAAAGTGCATGTCTCCCTGACCTTGGGGTCATGCCTGGGTCAGAGGGCTGGCCTTTGCTGCCTGCCACCAGGCTCTCCTGCTGCCCACCGTGTGCTGGGGCTGCTAGCGAGAGAGGCTACTGAAGTCAGAGATGCTCTTCCCTAGCTGCATCCTGATTGGGACAGTGGTCAAGTAAGCTCCATGGTGGGCCTGTCCTCCAGGCCCCCAGCCTGAGCTCACCCTTATGACCAAGCCTCCCCTGGTCTGATCTGTGCCAAACGAGGACCTGCAGCCCCCCTGGAGCTCGGATCTGGGGTCCCAACACACCATGTGGACATGACAGCCCACTTGGGGTCAGGCAGCCAAGGGACCTCGAATCATTTGTGAGGTTCGTTATTATTAATAATACATGCCAGAAAAAATAAATATGAAAACCATGTTGTAGAGTAAGTCTGAAATCTGGCCAGTTTTGAGATCAGCTGGCGAACCCTGAGGTTAACGAAAGTGGTTAAGTTTGATGGTCGTTGACTGCGTTTGTAAACTCAGACATGTGAACAGGTGACTCACTGGTGGAGCATCTCCCGTGCCAAGCACTGCAGTGGGCTCGGGAGTTCCCCAGGGTGTTGACTGTCGACTGGGAACCCGCCCGCCTGCCTGCTTGCAGCACCATCCCGGTGCGGGGCTGGGCCACGTGAGAGACGGCTGGGCTGCAAATTCTGGTGTCTGTTCTGTTTTGCTTCAAGATGTGGAGATTAACCTGACAGAGCCCCGAATGTCGTTCCTTCTGTGGTAGGTTAGGTTTTCACACTCGATGAAGTCAATTATACCTACATCTTGGTGAAGCGGGCACAGAAGGGGAGGTTTGTATCACAAAAAAATCTCTTTTTAGATTAGGCAAAATAGAATCCGTGCTTGAGAAAAAAAGTGCTATTTCTGTCACCAATCTGATTTTGTACCCATTTCAGTTTTAAGCTCTATGTCCCAGCTCTATGTCATTTCCTCTCCCTCCACCCTTCCCCCTCCTTCCTCTCCTCTACTCTTCCCCACCCTCCTCTTCCTCTCTCTCATTATCTCCTCCCCTTTTCTCCATCCCTTGCTCTTCCTTCTCTTCATCTGGTCCCCTCCTTGTCTCTCCCTTCTCTCTCCTCCCCCTCATCTTTCTCCCTTTCCTCCCACTTTCTCTTTCCTACTCCTTTTTTCCTCTCTCCCCACTCCTCCTTCCCTTTCTTCGTAAATCAGTCCATATTTATGTGCCTTTGATTTGCGGTGCAGTCGTGATCAGGAGACTTACTGTTAGAAATCGGGGAACACTGGAGCAGCTGACCTCATTTATAGGAGTTACTCTATTTTCTCTATGAAATGGCAACAGTTCAACACTGCATGTATTGACTTGAACCTATGTTTGTTTTCGCCAGTCTTCTGGGTTCTGTGAAGAAGGAAAGAGGAATAAAGAGGACAGCATCCTCCCTTTTAGCAACTTCCTCTCTCAGTGGGAACCTCCTATGTGATGGGAACTTTCTGTCAGGAGACACTCAAGACAGACCACTGTATGCGACTGTCTGTACGCAGTTCACAGCCAGAGAGAGCGGCCCAGGCCACAAATGCTAGTAGACATCAAGGTCAGCGTGGGCTAGAGGAAGGCTCCGCAGGTAGTATGGTCCTTAAACTGAGCCTTGGAGTTTGGAATGATCTGGAATTGCAAGGGTGGGCACTCCTGATTCTGATCATGGGACCAGCCGGTCTCTCCCCAGATTCCTGCTCCTGCACTCTGTAGACCCTGCCTTCTTGTTTACTTGCCCTTCTCCTCCTCATGGCAGCCCCCTACCCTTACGTCTTTCTGGCACTGGACCTTTCCTCCCCACTTCTCTCTCACTGGAAGCAACCAGCCCTGTCACTCATGCTCACTGCACAGATGTTTCCCTCGGTGCCCCCAGGAGACCCAGATGTCCTAGTGCAGCAGAAGCAATGTGGGTGACAGATCATGCATGGACTTGGAGTTCACACTGACCTGAGTCTGGATCCTCTTCTGCTCGAGACTTGGAGACCTGGGCAAGCTGATCAACAGGTTGGGCCTCTCTATCATCTCCTGTCCCTGGGGGTGATGATCCCTACTTCAGGGCAGCTTTCTGGATGAAATGGGTTAATGCATGGGTAAAAGGTCTAGTGCAAGTAGAGACACCCCCAAAATACTGGCTCCGGCTTTGCCCCAGTTCATTTCAGCCAAGCCTGACGGCAAAGAGGACTGGTGGGGGAGACGGAAGAGTGAAAGCACTGACGCTGGGGAGTCTGATCACACGGCCCTGGCCCTGGTTCCTGTTTCTAGGAGAGGTGTCTTTTGGACAAGTGACTTATCTGGAGTCTTCCCAATTGCTTTGCCCTGCATGAAACTGGATAATGTATGTGAGGTGTCGCACCCAGCGGCTGACATGTAGAGAGTGCGAGCATCACCATCATGGCTGAGCCCAGGCCACGGAAACTGAATCCCTTGGTGGCATCGAGCAGAATATTTCTACCAACCTTAGAAAGAGGGTGAAATGCGTTGGAAATGATGAATTGTCTCCGTGAAGTCTTCACACAGAGTTGTTCTCCCTCTCTAGCAGAGGTCCCTGCGGGCGAGAAGCATTTGGAAATAGCCCCAACGTGACTGATTTTCTTGAGTTGCCCTTTGGAGCTCGCACACAACATTCCGTCCTCGGAACTCACGCAATGCCAAGAGCTCCTCACGTATCAAGAACAGAGTAACCAAACCCTGGGGCTCTGGCATCGTGGGGTGACCCAGCACACTGACAACAGCCCGCCGGCCGGCTTTAAGCAGCACAGAGCCCAGGGGCGGGGTGCGCCCCTTACCTGCTTGTTCGAGTGACAGCAGCAGAGATCAAAGTCTAATGCACCGGTTATCGTTCTGTTTTCAGGGGCCCAGCAGGATTGAATGGGCTGCCTCTTCCAAGGAGCCCACAGAAGGTGGCCGGGTGGGAACTGAAAGAGGAAGGAGACTCGGCTGAAGCAAGTTTTTCATCAGGGCTCTGAGTGCCAGGGGCCTTCACCGGGACTCGGTTGAGGGGCCTGCTTCCGTTATCTTCAGACTGCTCAGGTCCACACAAGTTTGGCAGGCAGGAGGCACAAGAACAGAGGGACCCAACTGAATAAACCCTCAGGAATAGAACTGCTTGCAGGAAAACCAAAGAAATACTGGACGTCTTTTTGTGCCTCTAGACCTGCTTAAAATGCATGCTGCTAACAGAGCCTCTGCCCTTACTCTTGGAAAGTGGGCCATGCAACTGATACCAGGCAGGAATATGCTTACTCCCTCGCCCTTAATGATATGTCACAACAGTAATTACTATGATAATAGTAACAACAAAAGCAGCTCACACAATTGAGTGCTTACTGTATGCCAGGCAGTCTTCTGAGCGCTTGACGGTATGTTAATGCACGCAGTTCTGGTTTTAATCTTGATTTTCCTTATGAATATGTTCTGTGTCCTTGAGGAAGTTACCCACCTTCTTGAAACAAAGAGATATTTACATACATTTCATAGGTTTGGGGAGAGAATTAAATATAATAATGTATGTAAAGTGTGAGTTATATAGTAGTTGCTCCCCGATGGTGACCAATATTATTTTTATTAATAATGTGAACCCTCCTGCTTATTTTCTTTTTTGTGCCTATTTCCAAAGGTCTTGCCTTCCTAGGATCTGTCCTTCTGAAACTGGGAATGTGGAGATCCACCTTCTCTTTCTGGACGAACTCCTACTTAACCCTCAAGACCCATTTCAAAAGTTTCCTACACTGTGAAACCTTTGCCAGGTTCCAGAGTGCAAAACAAATTGCGCTCTTTGCCATGCCCCCATCCTGGCCCTCCTCACATCATCTGGTAATTGGGTCTGTTTATGTCTGTTTCCTTGGACAGCTTGGAAGTTTCTGGAGGTGCAAACCAGTATCTGCTGCACTCCCCTAGCTTAGCAGTTATCCAGGTGTGGTCTGCAGACTCCTGGGGGTCTGCGAAACTTTCAGGGGGTCCTTGAGGTCAAAACTGTTTTCATAACTCTAGGACATTATTTGCATTTTTCATTCTATTGACATTTGTAGCAGTAGTGGTTGAAACTGCTGGCATTGGCTTCAGTCAAGGATATGACATCAAAATGTGCGTGGAATCACCGTCATACAGTTGCATTAAAACACTGCCAACTCCACTTAAGAACGTCCTTAATGAGGCAGTAAAATGATTAACTTTATGATCTCTCGACCCTTGCCTTTTTAATAATCCGTATAAAGAAAAGTGGGAAGTACATATATAGCACTTCGGCTGCATACGAAAGCACTGTGGTTGAAGGTAATGTCGAGGAAAAGCACGAGTGTGATTGAATTGTGAGCGGAATTAGTCGTTGCTTTTTCATGACACATGCTTTTTACTTGAAAGAACAACTGACAAACTCCGTGGTTATTCAGATTTGGGCATTTGGCAGATGTCCTCTCAAAAATGAATCAAGTGAGCCTGTCACTTTAAGGAAAGCAGTATTTGTTACCAATGAGAAAGTTGAAGTTAGGTGGAAATCAGAAGTTTGGAAAACCTGTTCTGCCATTCTGAACTTGACATCTTCTCATTACATGTCCTGGAAGAGAATTGCAGTGATACTAGTGAATTGGAATTTTTGATACTGTATAATGAAATGTGTAAATGTTTGGAAGATCTGCATGAGTCTGTGAAGCAGTTGTTTTCAAATGAACAAACACGATGTTATACAGTCACGCACGGGTAAAAGGCCCATTCAGAGTGCGAGACGGGTACCTGGGTGGCACAGTCATTTGGGTGTCTGATGCTTGGTTTCTGCTCAGGTGGTGAGCTCGGGGTCATGAGATCTGGCCTCATGTCAGGCTCCACGCTCAGCACGGAGTCTGCTGAAGACACACTGTCCCTCTCCCTCTCCCTCTGTCCCCTGCCCTCAACGCATGCGTGCACTGCCCCCCCTCTCAAATGAATAAATAAATCTTAAAAAAAAAAAAAAAAGTGCAAGATAGACCAGTGGCTTTTACTGTGGCAGAGTAGAAAAGTTCAGCAACACTGTTTCAGACTTTACATCACAACAACCCTTAATCAAAACTTGTCAGGTGTGTCTATAGTACCAAAGAATATCCATCGTTACCTGGAAAGGCTATTAAAATACTGCTCCCTTTTCCAACTATATAACTGTGTGAGGCTGGGTTTTCTCTCTGCATTTTAGCTGGAGCAAGCTATTGCACCAGACTGCGTGCAGAAGCAGATCTGAGAATCCAGCTGTCTTCCATTAAGCTGGACATTAAAGAGATTTGGAGATATGTAAAACAGTGTCGCTCTTCTCACTAAACATCTTCATTCTGTAAACTAGAGTTTTTGTACAATTCGAAATGTTTTCATTTCATAAAATATGTGAAGTGTTAACGTGTAATGGGTTTGTTATTGTTATTTTTAAATGAATAAATGACTGAATATTCATGCAGTTCTTCAGTTTTAATTTCTTATGTGATAAAAAGCAGCAAAAGCACTTTGGGGTCTTTCCTCAATAATTTTTGAGTGTGTAGAGGCATCTGAAGACCAGAGAGGTTGAGAGCCACTGACTCATGGCCTGGCACATAGTAGGGACTCACTAAATAGGTGTGGTGTCCAGGCCTTTGGAGGTGATGACAGGCCAGGCTGCCTGGTCCTGATGTTTCTCTGCTTCTCTGTTCTTCGAAGGACAGTGTCTGGACTTCCTGGCCCTTACTCCTGTGACTCGGAGCAGGGCTGGATGTGACCTTGGAGCTCCTTCCCACTGCCTGGTTTATGCTAAGTAGGATTACTCCTGAGTCCTCCCATCCACATCCCAAAAGCACCTCTGCAGACTACAGGTTCTGTTTTCTGCTTTTATTGGTGGGTTTAGGCTACAGTAGGAAGCCTATGGAATTGCTGAGACAGGAATTTGCAACTAAATTTAAGAAATGTTAAGGATCAAACCTGGGGCAGATGTAGGCTATTTTTAAAGACAGGCCATTTAAGAATAGAGCAAAGGTGGGTCACTTACTACCCAGGCCCTTCTCTGCCTGGCTCGGAAAGATGCCTCCTTAAGGAGGGGAAATGCTGATCGCTCTCCCCTTGCTCAAAGGCAGACAAAGGCAGGGGAGCCGTGACCCTTCCCTGACACCCTGTAATCCAGTCCCACCCCCCTCATTCCTCTCTCCTGTCCTGGCTGATCCCTGCGGGCCTGCAAGAGAGCATCTTCCTGGGCCAGCCTGTGTGGCTGCCTGTCATTCGAGCCGAGGCCACGGGACACTTGAAACGGTAATGGGGCCTGGGAACAAAGATAATTAGCTAATGCATGAAAACATATAAATAAACCCAACCACCTCCAAGGCTTTCAGGGCTTGTGGAGGCTGAGGTGACCCTAGGGCTTTAGTACCACCGAGAGCCTTGGGGAAGGTCTGATGCACTGAGGCTCCTTTCATTTGGGTCTCAATTGGGGAGGGACCGCTGGGAAGACGGGCTGGTTGCAGCTTTGGGTGGGGGCAGATGCCTCTGCATAGTATCTTAGGTGGAGTGTCCCAGGCAATAGACTCAGACGGGTGACATTTGGGGGGGTCGGGCTCAGGAACCACACCTGTGAGCGAGCACGGGGAGCAGGCCTGGCAGGGGAAAGTTGGTTTGTGGTGCAGCTGTGACAGAGGTCGCAGCCGACCTGTGGGGACTTGGAGCGGGGGCAGCCCCAACAGTGGTCCTGACGCGATGCAAAAGGTCTTCATTTTGTTCCCCCACGGTGGTCTGTCCCTCATTGCCTGCTGTGCCCCACCCCAACCGGAGTGGGGGAGTGGGCCGTAAGGCCTCCCGGTTCCCCTCAGTCTAGTGCAGTTCCCAGAGAAGGACTCAGCGAGAGCCCCCCGCGGCCTGGAAGCCGGAGGAACAGGTCCTGGGTCCTGACGGCTGAGCTGGGCCGTTCATCGTGGCACAGCCCACAGAGGCAGCAGAAAGCCATCTGAGGATGCCGGGAGCGAAGGATGGAAGTCAAAGGGTGGGCAGAGCCAGAGACAGTGTCCTAGTGCTTCAATACGAATACGTATTGCTTCAAATGAAAGGGAAGGAAACACAAGAGATACTCTGTGCTTGTCTGCTGAATGACCAGGTGGAAGAATGGAGAAAGGAACGCGATTGTGTGTGGGACTCTAATATATAAAGAGGATAAATTTGCTTTTGGGCAGGTATTTAACCTTTCTGTGCCTCCGTTTTCTCATCCACAAAATGGAAATATAACGATGATACCATCCTCATTGACGTTTTTGTGAGGATTAAATAATTTGATATGTTTAAATGCTTAGGAAAGGGTCCGGCATACAATAAGAGCTATGTAAGTGTTTGCTATGATGGTGATGGTCGCTCTTGTGGGGGTCGTGGTTGTTACTGTCATGCAAAGGACTCTCCCACCATGACAGCCCCTGGGGATAGCCACGGAGTCCACCGTCTCCCGAAAGCACAACTGCAAGCCAGCGATCTGCAGGAAACCATGGAGGCACACATGTGGTTTGGGGCTGGCTCGGGATTTGGCTGGGACAGAGTTTCTCAAAGTGTGGGGACCCTAGTATCTAGGGTTTCTTTAGTGGGGGACATGAAGCATTAAAGCAAGTATCTCTCTTATTTCCATCCCGTCTCAATCCTGATTATCTCAAGGGGAAAGTCTCAGGCTGGTGCTGGGGTATCCCTAATGCCTCTCTAACACTTGCTGTTCTCTCTTTTTAATGATGAGAGCGCAGGCTGCGGACTCGGCACCTCCCCGGGTGGCAGAACCGTGGCTGGATTTCAGTAGCATTATCTTGCTTTGAATGTTTTTATTTTTCTAGTGACCAACTATTTATAAGCGAAATCTATTTTTATTTTTATTTCTTTAAAAGATTTTATTTATTTATTTGACAGAGAGAGAGACACAACGAAAGAGGGAACACAGCAGGGGGAGTGGGAGAGGGAGAAGCAGGCTTCCCGCCAAGCAGGGAGCCCGATGCGGGGCTCGATCCCAGGACCCTGGGATCATGACCCGAGCCGAAGGCAGACGCTTAAGGACTGAGCCACCCAGGCACCCCCGAAATCTATTTTTTAATTACTGTTGTAGGAAAAATATTCTTCCTAACGTAAGTTTGATAAACGGTATGCCGAAGTAAAGAAAAACATGAAGTAAATACGCGAGGGGGGTATACAGACGACTAGTTTGAGATGCGCTGGGTTTAAGGGAACAGGAAGTGCTGGGGAGGCAGGATCTGCAGGGCTGGAACCCTCCTGCATTCCTTAGCACACAGTGTGTGCCACAGAGAATGCCCCTGCCCTCTCTTGTCTGTGTGGCTCTGATCCGACACACCTTTCCCAGCCTCACTTCACGGCCACTTCCTTCACAGACTTTTCCCCGATTCCCCCCCAGGTGAGTCACCTCTCGCTCGGCTCCGTTCCCACAGCACATCAGGGGCAACAAGACACTTCTGTTCTGTTAGAGCTGTACAGACCAAATTCCAGTCGTCTGTGCCCGGCACAACACAGAGCAAGCACACGGCAGGTACACAGATGTTCACTGGGAGTCCGCACGTCCCTGAACTGCTGCCCGGTGAGAGGCATGTGCACTGATCCAGGCAAATGTAGCCAGAGAAGGAAACTGCAGCAAAGTGCCATGGGACCCCCCCAGCTGCCAGGTGCATGGGGCTCTGATTTAAGACTTTGCCATGATCCTGCTTAGCTCAAGCTAAACCTGATGGGAGGAGGCTGTGAGGGCTGGAGGGGGAAGGACAGAAGCAGGCAGCCACTATCCCTGGGTCTGTGAGGGGTCTATGAGAGCTCATATCTGCAAAGCCTTATTTTGTCCCCAGGAGCCATATCCTCGCATCAAAGCCACACACTCTCCTCTTCCCCTCCTTGTGACCCTGTCATAAAGTGACCAGCCCTTTGTGTTCCTTGTGCGATCAGGAAGATCACACAGTGCTGATCAGGAAGTAAGAGGGACTCTGAACCAATAGTCTTCTTTCAACATGACGATGACCTTCTGTCTGTTTCTACCTGGGGAGAGAGAGAGTTTGGCCTGGTGCTCTGATGTACAGACTGGGATTTGAGCCCCCGGGTCCCCCGCTGATGGCTCTGTGACCTCGGGCAAGTGACCACCCCTCTGTGATCCCTGCCTCCACGTTGTAGGGGTGGAGCTGGCACAGTGATGGGCAGGCGGCAGGAGCTCCTGCTCCAGCAAGTTCCAGCACCGCTGCCTGCTCTGTTCCAAGGGTTAGGGTTAGGGTTAGGGTCATGGGGTGAGGGGTTGGCATGTCTGCGGAGAAAAAGTGAAAGGGAAGGTGCTCCCACCCTGCATTGTAATGGATGTAGATGGAAGGTGAGGCCCCATTAAAATGGGATATCTAGGATTTGTAGTTCTTAAATTTTAGTAAGCATAAGCACCTAAGGATGCTTGCTAAGATGCAGATTCCGAGGTGCTGGCTCAGAGATTCCAGATATGGCCAGAGAATGCATCTTAAATAACCCTCTCAGGTATCTCATGCATGTGGTTGCCAGAATTTAGGTGGTTCCTAGATTGCAGGGCTGACAGTCTAGTCTAGAGGTCACAAACGGGGGGATGACTACTCAAAATTGAGAGTTTTCCATTCATATCGAGATTTCTTCTTCTTTGGGAAAATCAGAAGCATTGGCAATACTGGGTCTGCTTTTCTACCTGACAAGGGGCCAGAGTTCAGTTACTCCTGCTGCCTTCAAACAGGGCTGTGGTCTTTATTTAGAGTGCTGGCCCAAACTCTCGTGTTGTTGGAGTTTGCAGCCGGTGGCTGGTCCAGTCCCCTCACCCAACAGGTTGGGAAACTGAAGCCCAGAGCCAAAATGGCTTAGATGCGGAGAGCCAGCTTTGGATGCCCAGGTCAGAGGTGACCTGTGAAGAGCTGCTGTGTCCGCTGTGATCGGAGCGGATAAACAGAAGCAGCGGGTGGAAGAGGAGAAAGGCAGGGCGCTCCTGGGAGGGGAAGAGCATGTGTG